GCTCAAGGAAACGTCCTTAACCACTACGCCCCCTCTGGCCATATGAACTCCACTTTGCCCATAAGCAGCTGGTGCTGTTCTTAACCCACTGTATCACCTGAAGCGAGCCAGTGCGTTCCCAGCAAATCCTTCCCACCATGACGAAATACGTTTCAGGTGGAAACCAGGTTTCCAGGAAGTCACAGGCCCAGCCAGCTCCATGATTCCATATATGGTTTCACTCAATTCCCAGTAACCTAGTAATCCTGTTAGCTACTCACCACGGGAATTTGATTAAATTAGGCAACAGATCTGACCGGATTTGTAAATGCAAAGCAGCAGACCGGCGAGTTTTGTCTCTGGGACCGCGAGGGAAAAAAGGATTTTCCACTTATGCCCGGCAGCAAGCTTTTAACGAGTTCAGAACATATGAGAAGGACAGCGTCCAGAAAAGAGACAGGACAGTGTGTCCCCTGTGTGTATAATTACAGTGACCACAGAAAACGGTGGACAACCCCATAAGAGTAATAAAACACTGAGAAGGGTCATGTTTTGAAAGGCTGTGTGTCTGATATTTCCCATGTTTGTTACACTTTCTGCGTTGACCTGTTTACATACCAGGTATCTATGTCTGCACCATAAAGCCTTTGTGAGCCTTTGCCCAGAGCTCGGAAAATCCGAAAGCAAGAAAGATTCTGTAAGGAAAGATGCTGCGGGCAAAACCAGCGGAAAGCGTACACCCCAAAGAGAGGTGTGTTGTGTGAAAGACACCCTGACCCTGCCTAGGTAGGGTTTCCAAAATCTGCCTTAATCCCCACCTGCCCGCACTCCCAGGGAGTTCGGCTCGAGGACAACGTCAGATTCAACTCCCTCTTCTTATAATTCCGACACACACACACACACACACACACACACACACACTGTCCTTTTACCTCCGCCATGCTCGCAGTGCTGCCCAGTCCTAACCCTAACCCTCTTCTTAAAACACCCATAATTATGGAAACTTCGCCGATAGAAAAAAAATCTGACAGGCGTTTAGACACACCTTCACTCTTTGGCAATTACTGCTTGGACACTAACACCTCACTAACACTAATAACCTATTTTCATATCACGTTTTCCATTCTTCAAATGCTTACCAATGTTATCTGCATGTAGCAGTAGTAAACTGCTGAGTATTAATGAGAGTACAGTACAGTGTGGAGAGTATACTGGCATGTATTTAGTTATATCAGTGTGCTGCCTGGCATACCCACCTCCCAGCTCACGAAATGAGCCTCAAGTTTCCGTCACAGTCTCGTCCTACTGTGGGACAATTAAAAGGCCAGCATGACAGCAATAAGCAGGACGCGAGTCTTTATTCAGGCATGCTGCTGGGTGCCTGAAACTGGGTCACGGTGCTCCGTCATTAAAGCCTGTCCTGGGGTCCTGCGTGATGTCACAGCAGTACATGCTCTCCTGCCGAGCTGAAGCATTTCAATCAAAGGATCTTGATGCTCTTGAGGAACATGATACCTCAGTCTCCTGTTCCTGGGTTCTTGGGGAACTTCACTCAAGGGCAGGAGACTCAAGACTCAGGTCAAGAAGTGGAACGCAAAAGGTCACCTTTAAAATGAACACCCCGCAGCCAAAAAAAAAAAAAAACTAATCCACTTTAAAAGGGATTTAAAGTTACACTTTGAGGATTTAGAATGTGAGAAAGACATTACCTTTAAACTGCCCTGAAAGGAAGGGGGGAATGGGGATTTTTCTGTTTGAATTCAGCTGCAGACGGAGTGATGAGACCGAAGCTCGAACCCAAAAGCTTTCATGCCATTTTAGTGAAGTCAGCCTAATGGTTTAGCCCCGGGAATTTCTATTCAGTTGTGTAATTGGTGGATTTCTCATTGACATCTGCAATTAGATTCAACACGGGTGACCTGAGGTAGAGTCAAAGTTACTGCAAAGTTCTGAAAAAGATCAGCAAAGCCAATGACAATACATAACATGAGAGAGAACAGCATTGGGTGTCCTCATAAAATGCATAGCCATGCCTGGGTGGGTGGGGGGGGTGTTACAGAACCTCATGACAAAATGACAACAGAGTGAAATGGAGAACTAAGACCAGGGACCCTTGGAACCGCCACAGACACAGCAGCACAGGTGAAGCTTTTTATTCTACCTGAACAATAATACTAAAAAAAGATGGATGCTCCAGTGGAGGTAAATAGAGCTGGAATATCCACATCAAGTGGTCTGCATTGTATTTCAGTTAGAAGAGTAGTGGAGTGGCAGTATACTCGCCAGTATACTCACCAGTATACTCTCCACACTGTACTATTCACTTAAAGGTTGCATCTCCAGTCATGAGTTCGTGGATGACATCACCCTCATTGGACTCATCTCTGGTGCAGATGAATCTAGCTACAGGTGGGAAATTCACCATCTGGTGACATGGTGCAGCCAGAATAATCTGGAACTCAATACTCTAAAGACAGTGGAGATGATAGTGGACTTCAGGTGCAACCCCGCCCACAACCCTTCACGAATCTTCTTCCGTTTCCTGGGCGTCATCAACTCCCAGGACGTCAGATGTCATCAAAACAGCCAACGAAGGATGTACTTTCTACAGCAGCTGAAGAGGTTCAGTCTGGCAAGGTCAATGATGGTGCACTTTTACACAGCCATCATCGAGTCCATCCTCACCTGCTCCAACACCTTCTGGTATGCTGCTGCCACTGTCGAGGTCAGCAGAGAAGGTGATTGGCTGAAATCTGCCATCCCATAAGGACCTACACGCCTCCAGAACCCTAACATGGGCAGCAAAGATCATGGCCGATCCCTCCCACCCTGGACATGAACTGTTCAAAAAACTACCCTCCAGCAAGATACTCAAGCCTATCAAGACCGGAACTACGGACCACAAAAACAGCTTCGTCCCTTCAGCAGTAGAACTTATCAACAAGCCCCCTGACCTCTGCTGACACAGTCCCTGCCTCTGTCACTCCCCTCACTCTGCATCCATCTTTTTTTATCTACGGGTCATATTTTCATATTTTTATACTGTATATTCAATTGCTCTGTTCCCTTACCATCCATTTAATTATTGTTAGTATATTGTACAGCTTGGACTGTCCAGTATTTATTTGTTTATTCATTTTATTTCTACTTATCTGTTTTGCTTAATTTATGCTCTTTGTTCTTAGAACAT